CCAATGTTGTTAGGCAGGTGCCTAATTTGGCACCATCTCTGAAATGGGTGACAACTGGGATAAACAGGAGTAAAACCCGAGGCGCGTCACGGTGTCCACCACAGCAGGACTGCTAAACTGTACTCCGGCAGCTCGCTGCTCTCGTCATTAGGTACTTCTCCACCATTCTACGTTTGCGGTACTTTATGATTCCGCCTCATGGAATCCGACAAGCCAAAAATGACTAAAAATACAGTCACGGGCTATTTTGATAGATTTGAAAATCAATGGGTTCCTGTTTACGCCGTTATACGGCATGTCAGATTCGGTACCAAATAAGGTCACTGCCTAATAATGCTTGTGTGAAAATATGCTTTCAAGTGCCAAGAAAACGCGCAGCCAGCCTGAATACGCAAAAGGCAGGCAAGTATCATATAAACAACGGTGCCGAGCTTGGCCGCCGTTTTGTGAAGCTCTTGACTTAAGCTCTATTTCAGCGATGTATCAACCGGTCGTTTGCATGCAGTCAAGAAAAGTTTAGAGTCCAAAATCTAAGACTGAAATTATTCATGAAAAGTGGAACTACGTTCTTCATATGAAATAATCTCTCAAATGAATATGCTAGCCAGCAAGTCTGAGCCACCCAATCAATTTCTCTAAAACCATCAATATTGTTAATTGTGTCGTTGAATTGTCGGAGGCGTGGTTTTGTTGGCGTTGCGTCTGTCCCATAATCCATACATCTCCTATTCTCCGCGCTGAACTGCGCGCCCCAGACCAACTCCAAATCCACCATTAGCAGTCAAAAAGCGGTCATTAAAATTAATTGCAGCTCAGATTTGTTTGCAGCGCGTGACCGTTCTGTTCGCTCACGTGGTGGCACGTGCCCACCGACGCGCGCTCGCCGGCGGCACGTGGCCGACGTGCTCGGGGTCCATGCGGCGGCTGCGGCCTCCCGTGGTCGGCGAACTCGACACTGCGTCCGAAGCACGTGCTCCGCCCGGCTCGATCCGATTAGTCGTCTCAAATAATGGCCAGCCGGGGTGGCGGCCCGCGCAGAAATGGCGGCTGAGGGAGCTGTCCGCGCCGGCCGCCTTTTTCGCAATCGCTGCGATCGGAGCCAAGTGCAAGTCATGCGTTTCACTTGGTTAACTCGCCGCACACGCCTGACGTGTGCTTGCGAACAGTGCTGACAGGCTCGTAGTGCACGCGGAAGTGGAGCAGAAGTGGGCTTTGAGACGCGCTACGGTGCTGGAAAGCTTCAACGTTTTTTGTTTCCCGTGAAGAATATCGACGGAAAGTTTTGTGCAGAAAGCTTTGTGATAAGAATCACCGTTAAAGGGAGGATCCCGCCCTGGTTTTACCCTTATTCATAGCTCAGACGCGTGTCATTTGAGCAGTAATGACAGTTTTCTCGAAATCCTTCTGAATAGCTCAGACTTCCGATTTGAAGTAGCCGCTCCTGCTGGACAGATCTCATTTGACTCCCTGTCCACCCCTATGAAAGTAATACACTTCACTTGCCTTGCTTTTTCCAAAGTGTGTGTGTTCTGTGATGCTTACACACACGTATGTGTCAAAATGTTTGTGTATTAAGTGCTACAAAAGCTTGACACTCCCTGTTTAGACAAAAAGATATGCGAACACGCAGCTGTTACCCCGAAATTCGACGAAGCGTCTTGCTATGGGTTTTATTTCTCCACTATAGCGTTTACCACAGTGGCTCTTTTCGAGGCGTTCTTTGGCTCTGGGAATGGTAGTGTCATATGGTCCAAAGTGACGCAATGGCTCAAATTTCAACCAGTGCATTTCTTGGTAAGAGGTATTTGCCGCCCGCTAAGCCGATCACAAACGTTTTTTTTATGCACACCAGTAAAGCTGCGCACGGCGGTTGCCATGACGACGGTGGCTGCGACTGCGAGGAAGAAGTGTAGTGCTGTTATAAAGCGTTGGCAGAATAATTTGGACTCGAGAATGACTAAATTGCCCAGCGGTATTTTTGGATGTAACTGGTTCTGAGGTTTCACTAGAATACGTTTTTGAAACATGCACCAGAGGTGGGACACTCCCTTTAAGCATGGATTGTCGCGAAGACTTGACCGCACCAGTTCAGCAGCACAATTCCGGTTCATTGCGCATGATGAGCGGAATCTCTTGACTCGCAGCTTCATGTTAGCCACATATGGTCATCGTCACTCGCCCTTCTAGCTGATCCGCGGGAAAGCCATGGTTATACCGAATGATAGGATAGCAGAATGGTTGTGGTACTCGACGCGCCCAAAAGAGCAAGACTCGTCGAATGATAGTGCGCTGTTGCTATCGTATCCAAGACTCAACCAAACATATGGGCCGGTCCCATGCTGCCGTTTTAATAATGAACTGATCACTGATCAGATATGGAATTAGGGCTCTATCTGATTGTCGATTCGCTTGTGCTCGGACCATATGGGGTTGTATCTGGCACTTATCGATCTTCTGCTTATGTAGTGCTCAATGAATGCCGATATTGAGACGACCACGAAAACAGACACAATGTAATGCACCCTGCGAAACAGTGGTTACTGAAGATTAATCTCAAACGTGCCCATTATCTTATTAGTGGCATTCCTTTCAGGTTTAATTCGAGAGGCTTGGATTGCGCCTACGAGTATTGTGAAAGTCGATGGCGTTTTGCCCCCATATCATATGTATAGACAGAGAAAGTAACATGAAATGGAGTGGTGCAGACGAAAAGCAACTGGAAATCCAAACCTGGTGATGGTTTTAGAAAGCAACGCGCAGAGGCGTAGCCAGGATGTTGTTAAGGAGGGAGCTCAGTGAGTATGCATCCGCCAATTTTTACCTCCTGTTGGCGACTGTGTATGGTGCAAACAAACAAATTCGGGCCTAAGTCCCCCCCCCCCCCCCCACTCATTGCTCGTTGGCTGCGCTACTGGCAACGTGGACCGAAGCAGTGCAGGAGAGCGGCAAGCAGACAGCATAGTGCGGCGCCGCCCAGTCCACCCGGCCGCGCGCCAGTCGCCCACGTCCCCACCACCCCGGTCCCTACCGTCCCGTGGCCCCGCCACCACGTGTCTCCGCCACTCCGGGACCCTGCCGCTCCGTGTTCCCACTGCCCCGTGTCCCTGTCGCTCTGGGACCCCGCCGTCCATGTCCCCGCCGTCCCGTGTCCCCGCCACCTCACGTCCCCGCCGCCCCGTGTCCTCGCCGCCTCGGGAATCCGCCGCCCACGTCCCCGCCGCCACGTGTACCCGCCACCCCGTATTCCCGTCGCCCCATGTCCCCGCTGCCCGGCGTCCCTGCCGTCCCGTGACCCCGCCGCCCCGTGTTGCCGTCGCCCCATGTCCCCGCGGCCCGGCGTCCCTGCCGTCCCGTGACCCCGCCGCTCTGGGACCCCGTCGCCCATGTCCCCGCTGCCCGGCGTCCCTGCCGTCCCGTGACCCCGCTGCCCGGCGTCCCTGCCGTCCCGTGACCCCGCCGCCCCGTGTCCCCGTCGCCCCATGTCCCCGCTGCCCGGCGTCCCTGCCGTCCCGTGACCCCGCTGCCCGGCGTCCCTGCCGTCCCGTGACCCCGCCCCGAGCCGACGCCCGCCATTTCCCATGACCCGCGCCGCCGCGTATCACCTCGACCATCAGTGATGGCTCGCAAGACGCGGTCGCAGTGGCAACCCTTCCCGCCGACAGGTGACGATGAGTTATAGACATGACTTCTCTCTTACCGGTTATCTGCCCATCGCCGGCCGCGCGCCGGGCCGACAAGCATTCTCCATTTCATTCACAAATAGCGGCCACTGACCGGCTGGGCGTATTCGGGGCGCGCTCACACCGCTGGCGGAAGCCGTCCTGGAGTGCTGGAAGTCATCACCGGTGGCGGCACGGGGTCTGTACCGGTTGGGGAGTTCAGTAGCCGGGAATTCCGGCGCGCGACCAGCACCGATGGCGCCATTGGCTTGAGTTGAGTGTGGGGTAGGGGAAGGGCTGCCCTCTGTGATATTTTTATTGAAATGTCCATTTATGAAAGTACGGCATCTTGTGAAGTAGGCGTATGCTGTGTCGCCTCAATGACGATAAGGGGTTTTGAAAAGCCCAAATTAAATCATCGAGAACATTTTGGCATTTCAATGTCATCCGCTTTGCTACTTGGGGATAACTGAAGAGGAACGACAAGTGACTGCATGCAGCGAGTACTGTCAAGATATGAAACCCGAGCTATGCTACAAAAACAGGCAAAAGGGTACCTTAACTTGCCATTGCACTGTCTGATACAATATATCTGCCTGTGTGATAACCTCTTGTAATGAGGACTGGGCACATGATAATGACAAATGTTATGTTGTACTTAGACCGCTCATGGAACAACGAAACGAACGGACGTCCTTCCACGCTGAAATGAGATGCATTAAGACTTGGAGCCTCACACCAGTGCTCGCTTTGTATCCTATCAGGCAGCTGTAGTCACTCACTCAACAATGCAGAAGTTCAGTCCTCGATTATGGCCCCAGCCGACAAATAACACGCCAATGCCGTTGCCAAAATGCGCCAGATTGCACAAGCGATATCGCTGAGGCGTGCATCATCCGAGAGACCCATCACTCCTTCACCATCCCGCCCTCTCCAAATCTCAACATCACTTCTGAGCTGCCATCGAAAACAGCCGGCACCATCTCATATCACAAGTTGTATTACATACACGCATGCATATACAAGTACAACGAGAGGACACTGCGACGAGCGCAGGTCAATGACACAAAACACGATACACATAGTTACGTAACAAGGTGGCTGGGGAGCGACGATACGCGCTTGGCCGACGGACACAGACGCACCTACACGCACACACACTCTTGAGAGCGCGCTGGCTGTCCGCCGCGACCGGCGGCGGGCCGGGGAAGCCACCACCCAGCGCCGGCCTCGCCCCGACAGGCGGCGAAGCGGTCGGGGTGTTCGCGACGCGCGAACGCCGGCCGCGTCGCTGCCGACGCGTCAGCTGGCGACCGACGACGCGCCGGCTCCGCCCGTACGTCATCGATGGTCTGGCGACGGGCCGGGCCTGATATGCGGCTGACGGCAAAGCGACGCCGCTGCCGGCGAAGGGAGAACGGGGATCGCAGGACGTGGCGACCGTGGTTTGGGGAATACACGTCCGGACTCGGGGAGGGCTGAGCCGGGTGCCGACGGCCGACTGGTTCGACAGAGGCGGGGAGGAGGCGCCTGGAGAGATCAGAAGGCCATCGAAGAGCTTCAAGACGCGGGAGGACACGTGGAGGACAACAAACGGCGAGGCCGCCCGTGCGCGCCCGTCGCGGACGGGGCGCGGCGGCCACAGACCTCTGAGTATCACGCTCGGCCGCCTACCGAACGACAGGAGCTCGAGCCGAGCAGCGGGCGCCCCGGCCCGCTAGAGCTGTCCCAGCGGCGGCTCGTCCTGTTCAGTGTTCAGCCGGCGCACAGGCGCGCCGGCTGTGGAATAACCGGGCGCGGCGGACCGCTTGGGAGCGCGCCTCACGCCCGCGCTGGTCGCCACAGCAGCGCTCCGGGGCTGGTGACGGGCAGCAGGCGGAGCGCCGGCGCCGGTCACCGCAGCAGCGCTCTGCTCCGGCGCCCTGGTCGCCGGTCGGCGGCGGGTGGCGCGGCCCATCATGCGTAGAGGTCGCCGTAGCCCATGGAGGAGGAGGCGCCCTCCAGGCCGGGGTCGGTCAGCGGGCGGCCGGTGCCACCCGGGTCGCCGTGCAGCGGCTGCAGACCGTCCTTGGACTCGCCGGACTTCTCCTGGCGCAGCACCGTCCGCCGCCACTTGGCACGCGCGTTCTGGAACCAGACCTGTCGGCAGACGAGGGCCGCCGGTTAGCCGGATGAGCCCACCGACACGACACACGTGGCACGGGGTGACAAGCCGCACGAACTCCGCCCCCCCCCCCCCCCCAAACGCACAAGCACGGGAGACGGAGTAGAGCAGTCCCCCTTTTGCGAAAGGCAGCATTGAGATACAGGCGTTGCATAGAAACATTGGGTCGCGTAAGACATCTAGGTCTTCGCAGCTCTTGACTAGTGACTTGACTAGAGGTTTTGACCACATGCTAAGAGCCTGAGGACGGGTGGTAGGCGGCAACATGTGCGCAAGTAGAAGCAGAATTAATTACCAGGTTAGCAGATACGATGCGGTCAAACGACATTTTACAAACATGCAACGGTTCCTAGATGGCGTAATGAAAGCCTCCGCATCGATCAGACATTTCTCATGTTCTTGGCATGAGTGTATTCCCGATGTTTTGAAATATTCGCAATGGTGTTTTCGGGACGTGGCTTGAGAAACTAACCAGATAAAATCGAATTAACATAACAGGTTCCTTAAATCATAGACACTGTGTGCCTCTCCCCAGATCGTCTGAACGTACCACACAGCTCGCATCCCCGCCTCCTGTGTGTCCGCACTGCTGCTGCCCGACCCGACCACGTGATCGTCCTGCGTGTCTGCACTACTGCTGCCCGGCCCAACCACGTGACCGTCCTGCGTGCCTGCACTGCTGCTGCCCGGCCCGACCACATGACCGTCCTGCGTGCCTGCACTGCTGCTGCCCGGCCCGACCACGTGACCGCCTCAGAGCCAGTGAGGTTTGACCGCTGCATGGCAGACCGGCGCGGCTATCAGGACCATCTGTGAGTAGCGGGCGGAGACCACGGCCGCCGCCATGTCTGACCCGACAGCGTCTGATCCGCGCCGCCCTCACGGCGGCGGGTCCGCGCCCCATGACGTCACGTGTCGCCGGCCGCTATCGGATCCATCGAGGCTCGTCCGGAGCTGCACCCGTCCGGCCGCGACAGGACCGGACAGCGGCCCACGCGACGTCGCCACGAGGAGGTGGAGCGTCCATCACCGTGACAACGCTGCCGGCCCACGGCTGGGCGGCACTGTCAGCGAGGTCAAGTTAGGCGGACTTTCCCGTCCTTTTTCATCTTCTCCCGTCCGCTGTTCCTGGAGTGCAGGTTTGGGTCGCGCTCCAGCAGCGCGCAACGTGTGAGGTTCGGTCGGTGGGAGCGGCACGGATCCGGTACAGCGCTAGCCCCGGCCCGCGGCGCCGACCGCCATCGGACGCTGACGTCAGCGCCGAGAGTGACCCCGCCCGTCCCGACCGAGCGAGCCCGCCCCGCCCCGTTCCGCCCCGCCCCGCCCGGCTCTCCCGTCCTCCCATCACCAGCACCACCATTAATTGAACGAATTAAGCGGGCCCATTAAAACCGACATAGGCTCGTCCGGACCGAGCCGGGTCTCTGATGCGGAGAGGGGTGGGAGGGGAGGGGGCGTGTGACCCTGTCACGGGGCGGCACCGCGCGCTCCTTCTCCGACCGGAACACGGCTGTCTGACCGCGTCGCTATCGCGGCCATCGCATTCAATTGTCCGACCGGGCCACTTCCTTTATCGCCAGGCCACTCGCGCTCGTTTTCAAACAAAAACAAATAAAGTACGACGCGTAAAAAGGTCTCGGCGGCGGCGGGCCTAATTACGGCGCGCGGCCTCGGCGGGCGGCGCATAGCGCGCGGCCACCGAGCGCGCTTCCGATCCGCCATTGTCCGCCGCTTTGGCGAGCGTCACCGCCAGCCGTCGAGGACAATGCTGTGAGACGCGCGGCCCGCGCGGCCACGGCGCCGGCGGAAGCCAGATGGGATCGCGGCGCGCGGGAGCCTCCGGAGCCGCGGAGCCGCGGAGCCGGCGGAGCGCTGGCCAGCCGGAGGCGTGAACCTGGTGCCTCCGGAGACCGCCGCGCCGCGCGGAGGACCATCGCTTGCGTGGTTTCCGCCGGGGTCGGCGGCGGCGGTGCGGCGGTTCTGAGAACTAAGCTGGATACGGTGGCTGGTTGCGGCGGACGGGCGGGTCATTCTGCACAATGCAGCAGCGACGGCGAGGTCACACGGGAGGATGCAGACATCCGCTGCATAATGGGGCGGCAGGGGAGGACACCAGTGATGTATGTGCTGTTGATGTGGCCCCAGGTTCAGGGTCAGCCGAGAAATCCTAAAAGGATTTGAACCCAACGACAAGTTTGTTTGCCTTTCTTGTTTCCTTAGGGAACAGACTATCCCGATTCCAAAAGACAGTTCTTTAAAGTAAACATCTCCCGAATAACAGAAACATTATTTACGCCTGGTCTTGGACCGTAACACTTTGTGTTTTGCGTGCAACTAAAATAAACATAATAATGTCACCATTGCGAGATTTGACTACTTGGTGCTCGTTTCTCGATGGGCCGGTGTTATTGCCAGACCCTGGAAGAAACTTTACAAAGCAGCTATGGTTTTGATCATCCGCAGTCATTACTATCTTATGAAACCATAACTTGAATCAAATGAAGTCCTTTCAACCAGGCAAACGTACGCCAACTTTCTGCGCATTAAATTTCAGAGCGTTTTTTTCTTGTCATAGACATTTCGAAGTTAGGCTACACCGAAACCGTGACTTTATTTTAGAACATAGCCTTGTCCCTTGCCTTAAGATAAGGTCGTGCGGAAAGGTGAATAACGGTGTTAAATAGTGTTCATGTGTATCAATTTGCTCTACGCAAAGTTTGCTCACATCCTCCCAGTGGCCTGGCCGCGAACATAAATAGCTACCTTCTATTCCAACCAGCAAGGTCGTTTCCTCGCCACGCAATTGTGTTCGATATATATTAAATTACCCATTTTGGTGTAGTAACGCGGCGCTTCTTTTAATGGTAACTACAGTGCCAATGACGCAAAGATGTGCTAGCCTGGGCCGAACTCCAAGCGTTTATGCACTGAACAGATTGGTTGCAGCACACACTTCTTGTCACGTTTTAAATCACAACATAAATCACGATGAAGTATTGGGCCAACTACTACGTTTGAAACCACTGTACTGACTCTCCTGCAACCTTAAAAGGTCGGTGATCAGCATTCGTAGCCAGACCTTCTGACGCCGGTTTCTTACTTTCACTGTCTTGACCTTTCAAACTACACTAACGTCTTTAATGCGCTGAGTTTTGCTCCTAACCGAGAAACCATCGGCAGACTTTCTTACAAGTCTTACCAATCGATACAGGGCATACTATCAAATCAGTCACTATGAATCTGACGGTCACGTCATTACATAGGCAGCCTGGAGATGTGTCAACAAAGGCTTCTAGGTCCTACTGGTGGGTTTGACTGTGCAAAGACGATGTAACGTTTTTGGCCATGTTGCGTAAAGTACCCCAAATGTGTATCAAGATGGGCGAAGTGTTTGAACACCATGGATCCTGCTAAACGCCATCACACTATTATAACCATTTAACATACCCGTAATGCTGTGAAAGGCGGCGTTGAGAAGGGAAAAGAAAGTACATGAGGCTGCACTGCCATTGTCTTTTAATAATTGCGATGTGCCCAAAGCAGCCAACGCGGCAAAGCATCAAACCCATGTGTACCAAATTCAGCAAAATAGGTAAGCTTTCTTAAATTAAGCAGACAGCACGAGAATTCGAGAAAAACTTTAAATTATGTTGAACAGTTGTAAAGGACACCGCCCTTCGAAATATCGTAACCAAAATCCACACATGATATTCGAATGCTTCATAGGGACACAAGTCACAGCGCATTGAATGGCGGAGAGGGAAGGAGCCTCACGACCAGACTTGACATTAGTTTGTGAATGTTTATACAGCGCATTGAATGGCGGAGAGGGAAGGAACCTCACGACCAGACTTGACATTAGTTTGTGAATGTTTATACAGCGCATTGAATGGCGGAGAGGGAAGGAACCTCACGACCAGACTTGACATTAGTTTGTGAATGTTTATGTAATTCCTTCCTACCAGGGCGTTGACGAGTTACATGTAAATTCTGTTATTGGGTGAGCGGGTGGGTTAGGAGGAAACCGCGGCACTAAGCTGTTTGTGGGCCTCCAAACTGCGCTCGGCAACCCGGTGGGGCATTTCACGCACTCAAGTGTTTCCTCGGCACGCCCCACATTTTTTGGAAAGAATTGCTCGAACGACGCCATACAACAAATGGGCTCGGGTGAGACCATGAATTAGAAAAGCGTTTCGAGCGATATAAAACCATGGCTTCTACCCAAGCTTCAGGTGGACATTGCTCCAACCGTATGCTGCTGACACCTACTTACGAGAAATATTCTCTGATCACCGGACATTGTTCTGTGCGCGGTCGGACACGCTCCCCGCACGACGACGGTGTGACGGTGGAGTTACACTAACACCACACGTCGAGACGCTCACGACTAACAGGCTTTCAAGTGATGTCGGAACATCCAGACAGCGAAGGCGTGCTGCATTAGTGTGTAAACGTCGACAGAGGTCACGTGTTTTACTTTTTCCGTGAAGCGATCATCAAGAACCTTATCGTGATATCTTCGTTTAGCCGGCACCTCCTGCCATGCTGCAGTTTAAGAGCCAATGAGTATTTTTACCGACGTCGCTGGCGTTTTGACACCGCTTCACGTTTGTTATCATTATGATCAAATACATCGATAACAGTGGATACGTTCATAGTGGTTGTCGTGAATATACGGCCTGCGTACTTTGCATGGCAACATCTTTCTTGCCACACGCCTCAGCTTGTTGAACATTGAGAGAAAATCTCAGAACAGTGGATCGCCCGCTTCACTGCCGATTACTTCCTTTGGGCCCCTGTCTGTGTCCGTCCCTGTGGATCCTTATCTGTCCTTGTGGGATGCTTTAGACATTTCAAGCATTCTTTTTATAGCTTGTTTCAAAAGTGCCCTTTTAATTGGTGCATTGCCGTCTTGATAGCAGTAAAAACGCGAGGAGCTTTACGGGAATCTTTGCTCTAACCTGTCCGAAACAAATCCGACAGACGCACGTTGGACTGACGTGTGGCGCGACGCGTCGACGTTGCCCACATTTTGTCGCGCGGCGGCGTCTTTCGTCGGTTGTAACACGGCTATGTGAAAGCGTGTTTTTCACTGCGGAAACTTTTCAATGCAAGAAATAGCGTGAGTACGTTGCATTAATGATAGGGCGTGAGCTTGCCACAGTGTATTTCTAGTGGACATGACCTAGCTGGAGATGGATCATAAATCATGAAGCATGGTAAGTGAACACATAGCTGCATCGTCTACACCCGACGCCCGCTCATAAGCACATGCCTTTTCCGGATAGGAGGCTCGGGAAGCGTGTCGTGCGACTAATGCGACCGCGGGTTCAACAAAGCGTGTCCTTCCAAAGGTCCTGATGCTGTGGAGAGTGCAGGCAGAGTGCCAGTCTGTGACTGTTTGCTGCTACTAGCTGGGGCTGCGAGCTAGCAGCAGCGAACTGGAACAGCTGCTCTGCCAGGCTGGAACAGGCGCTCCGTACATCAGCCTTAACTTCAGCCTAGGGACTAACACCGAAGAATACCTGCATGTTGATAACAGTAAAAACTAAAACCGGTCTGTCGGCCAAATACAAAAAATGGTCGTCGGCTCAGTTGCGTAGTCGAAAGGAAGCCCAGGTATTCGGTGCAGAGTCTGGTGGAGACCCGCACGCGCTCTCACCTGCAGCACGCGCTTCGACAGGCCCGTCTTCTGCGCCAGCTGCTTCAGGTCCTTGGCGTCTGGGTTCTGGTTGAGTGCGAAATAACTCTTCATTGTACGCAGCTGGTGGTGTTTGAAGCTGGTGCGCATGCGCTTGCTGCGCTGGCTGTGCGGTCCGGGTGACTCGTACCCCATGTGGTCCAGGTCCGACGTGTACTCTGCCCGGCAGAGAAACGGTGTTCGGACATAATGAAGTGCAGGGAGGCAGCGGCACTCTCAGCGTCACAACGCAGTGAACATGGGTCAATGCTCACAGTTGACACTGGTCATCACGGTGTTTCGAAATTGGCAGATCAATTAGCAAGGTGAAGGCGTGTTTTACGCGATTTATGGGGAGGATTGATGAGAATGGGCCAAGCGGGTCTCTCCGTCAGGCTGAAATGTTCCTGTGGGCTAACACCAGGTCTCAATAACCGGCTCATTTCTCTCGACAGACTTCCGTAAACGTCATCTGACATGGTCACATAGGTTGACTATTTGTCTATCGGACAGCTTATCAAGCCGTAACCCTAAATCCGTCTCAGGTCCCGCTTAGTGCCCTTCTCCAGCTTATCGCGACATTCCGTCCGTTCCCGCCGAGAAAAAAAAACACAAATGCGTCGACCTCGCTAACGAGCCCCCGAGCTCCCCGAGCAGCAGGTAGCTATGTTCCAGAAAAAAGCAAGTGCCTGCCACAGGACCGATTTGGAGTAACATAAAATGTTGTTTGGTCGCGCTCTAGGGCATGATCCTTGATGATTGTCTGCCTCAAAGCCGAATGATTAAAATAAATGGCAAAACATTATCTTTCCGGCCCGTTGCACTTTTAGCAGCCTCAGTTTTTTGGGAGTGGTAATGCGTTCCCCATTTGCCTTCGATTTTCCCTGCAACTCTATAGACGCTGCTCCACTGGGGTAGGAGACAGTTAGGTATCAAAATGGTAGAATGCATGGCCCTTAAAAGTTTGTTCACTTGTCCATATCTCAAATTAACTTGCACTTGTCCATTCCAATTGCCATCGGCTATTGTTCAGTTTCAATTTGGTTTCGTCTTCTGGCTGTCAAATCCTGCAATAAAAACGACATAACTTTTTTGGAAACTCAAGGCAACACCCACTTATTTATTTTTAAGAAAGCTGCATTATCATATGGAAAAATGCGCTGTTGAAATGCTAACATCCTATCGGGCAATAATAATGAGCAGGCGCTTCATTTCACCGTGACGTGAAAGCCCTGACCGGCATATGCTCAGATGTGCTACTCCTCATGGCAAATGTTCGCGGTCATGGTAAACATTATTCGCATTAATTACGGAGGCAACTTGATCCCTCAACTACAGAAACACACCAATTAACTAGACTTTTTCACCGGAGAGAGAGAAGCCACATTGCCCTTCGTTACAGACAGGAACTGCAAAAATGCCGCAAATCACGACCTAATCGGGCGTGCCGACAGATTTCACACGCCGTACCGGCCGGCGGGGGCTGCAGCTGGCTGGCTGCGGCGCGCGCATCCGGCCGGGCCGAGCCGCATCGTTCACGCGCCGTCGCGACACGCCGCCTCCCAAGTGCGCGCTCCCCAGCAGCAGTCCCGGCCGCCGCGTGCCGTTGCAGGCGCCGGGCCCGCCCCGCCCCGGCCCGCTATTGATTGGCAGCGCGTGTTTGCATACCTCGCCGGCGACATGCACCGGCGCATGGCTGGCGGCATGCTCCCCAAATACGCACCGCAGCCGCCGGCGCCATTTAACCAAATATTTTTCCGCGGCCTACAAAATTAGCCGGCGCTATGACGGATGGCGGTCGTAATTCGGCGCGTCGGCCGGCGCGTCGCGGCCGTCCCGTGCCGGGCGCGCATAGCTGGCGTCTCGTGTTACGCGCGGCCGCTCGGCGCCCTGACGCGCCGTCGCGCGGTGTTACGCGCCGAGCGTCACACGTGGCGCGCAGTCGGCACCGCCGCCGCCGCAGATGTGGCGCCAGCGGCGGCGTGACGGCGGCGGCGGCGGCGGTGGCCGACGCGCACCGGGTCGTGTTCCTGCGCCGGCTCCGCTCGGTTTGAAGGCAGCCGCAGCGTTTTTGCCGTCGTCCGCTCTCGCCGAATCCGTGGCCAATCGATTTTTGCGTCTGTCGGCGCGTCTCTTCCGGCTGCTTGTCTGGCCTGTCTCCTCGTCGGTCGGTCGATCTGCCGGAGCGCAGCTCCCGCCCGGCCCCCGTCTCGCCCGTGTCGGAACGCCGCTCCTCACCCGGCTCCCCGCCCGGCTCCCGTATCGGCTCCTCCCCGCGCCTGTCCTCCCCGTCGGCCTCGACGCGACGCGCCGTAAGCGGCAGAAGACGGATGGGGGCGCAGTTGGCGCGGTAATTTTAGGCCGCAGAATCCAAAACACGACCGGACGCGGGTAACGAGGATATAATGAGAATTCTATTGTGCGCTGGAAGCGGCGGGCTCGCCGGCGGGCGCGGGGCTGGGTCGCGCCGGCGCGCCACCCGGCACGCAGGGGTCACCGCGCCCGGCCGTCGGCGGAGCGCCGGGTAATGAGACGGCGTGGCCGGGCGCCAGTGAAGCGAGCTCGTCGTGCGCGCCACGGCCGCCACCCCGTGGCCCCACGGCGTTCGGCGGAGTTTGCGTTCTGCCGCCGCTAGCGCGTACCTCCCTGCAAGCCGGCCAAATTCCGGCGCCGACGGTTTGGCGAACCGTGCTGCCGCATAATCACGCTGCCTTGCTCAACCGGCAAAAACATCCCGCCAGATTCCTCGTTAATTGGCTGCGACGTGGTACGATGGTGAAACATTGAAATCAAGATCACCTGATAGGTAAAACCTCCCCGAAGACAAAAAAAAAAACAGAAACGTCAAACGGCGTTTGAAATTCCGCGGTTGGTCGCGAAGGGAAACTGACAGAAGTGCATGTGACAGTCGCGAAGGGAAACTGACAGAAGTGCATGTGACAGTCGCGAAGGGAAACTGACAGAAGTGCATGTGACAGTCACAAATTGGGCAAGCGGTGCCGGTGTGCTCCTAAATGTTGCACGCCGTCACAACACGTTCAAAGGGAAACCATAGAGTTTTTACTCCAACCAGGACATTCAAAACGGGATGGACAAGACGCTGATCAGTTGTGCAGAAAACAGAGAAGCGATCGTGGGTAAAGGATTTACACTGGTTTAAATATGCAGCACAATTAGAGAATACGCATGGAATATAATTAAAAGAGCAAACAATTATGACAGCTTCCAAATGTGCACACGCAAATGTCACCGGCTACAAATGTCGACCGGCAGCCTAACAGAGATTGTCAAATGAAACACAAAGAAGCCCGCGGCCGAGGAAGAGCAAGGAGCAAAACACCACAGAGCCGGAGAGGCCAGTCTCACATCCATTGTCCACTCCTCGCGCGCTCTCGGGGCCGAATAAAAAGCTGCGGTACGCCGCCGCCGATCCGGCCGACATTTTGTGGCGTGTTTTTTTCTGGTCTCGGTCGGGCCATTGTGCTCCGCGGACGGGTGACCGTCTCCTGGGGCCGATCGGCAGGCTTCTCACGCACGCGCGCCGCCGCCGCCGCCCTCAAAATGGTGGCCGCCACCGCCGCCGCCGGCGCGATGGCCCCGATCGGCGCGGACCAGCCAGGCCCAAATTGGAATAGCATCTGACGACGCGATGGCCGGATAAGCGGACTCCGGACGGCGCTCATCACGGCCTGGTCATTAGGCGCGCGGCCCAGGCCCGGGCCGCCACCGGTCATCTGATAACGGACGCGCCACGTTCCAGCGCGTCCCCGGAGAACGGCAAGAGGACTGGGCGTCGGCAGGCCGGCGCGCTCCGCCGACGCTGCCGTCGGTGACCCGGCCTCCTCACCCGTCCCGCGTCGGCCGTCCATGCAGCCTCGCTGCGGGCCGACATTAACGTCGAGTCTCATACTGTTTGTGTTGGGCCGCCCGGCCGGGCAATACGTCAATCATGGCGCGTTCGTGCCGGGCCACCCAGCTGCGCCGTGCGGCACAGCCTATCTTGGCCGCAGCAGGCGGTAGCGCACGAACAACAAACCAACACCAATTAAATCATTGTCAGTCGGGAATCGTAGCCGCCAGCAAAAAGCCGACTTCATGAAACGGACCCGGGCGCCCCGCTGGTAGTTGAAGAGGATTTGCGCACGATAGTCGGCGGTGATGAGCGTGGGCTGGTCCCGGAGATCCGCAGCCTCCCGCGGCGACCGACACCGGGCTGACACTGCCGACGGCGTGCAACTGTTCTGTTATGCGATCTCAGCCGGACTGAGGGATGAAACACGACGAGTTGTTAATGTGCACGGAAGTGATACCGGCTGATAAGGAAATCAAAGAGGAGGCGACGGCTCATTATACTCTGGCATCTTTCACGTTGTCTTCACCTTTTCCCATGCATTGAACAGCTGATAAGTGGCAAGATCAAATAACCTGATTATAATCCATCCAATTTCTGGGCATTCGTAATCTGGGCACGTGCCCCTTTGAGGTTGCATACAACGTGCTTATCGTGATAGCAATGCTACAGAATCTATCATTCCAGACGCAATATCACGCAACGCCACGCTTGCGTTTAATGGCTCGGATCAGAGGCCAGCTTTTGACCCGACAGCCGCGCACATCTGACCCGACAGCCGCGCACATCTGACATCTTGACTGCTTGACAGATCACGCGTTGAAGACGCCACGCAGAGGCGCGCTGGGAAATCAACGAGTTCGTGTTTCAAGTGCTGCGTGGGCACTTATGCTGTCAAAACAAAAACAAAAATCAAACGATCTAACCAATCAGAGTGATAGTACACAAATCACGCGTAAGCATGTAATGCAAATTCACAGATGTCTAGGAACCCGCCCATCCTGTTTCACGTCATTTACCCAGAAAAATTCAGAAATCACAAAAAGCAGGTATCCCGGCGGAAACTGTAGGCAGATGAATGAAGCAACTAACAGCAGTTATCCCGGCGGAAACTGTAGGCAGATGACGGGAGTAACTAACAGCAGCTATCCCGGCGGGAACTGTAGACAGATGACTGGAACAACTAACAGCAGTTATCCCGGCAGAAACTGTAGACAGATGACTGGAGCAACTAACAGTAGGTGTCCCGGCGGAAACTGTAGGCAGATGACTGGAGCAACTAACAGCAGGTATCCCGGCGGAAACTGTAGGCAGATGACTGGAGCACTA